ATTTTTTTTCTTCTCGTCCCTTGTAAAAATATGTTGGTTTGTCATGTTTTAAGAGCCCTGTCAAAAGATCAGCACCATTAAAAAATTTTTAGGGGTCGCTCAAGATTTTTAAAAATTACCAAAATCGTTATTTTAATTTTTTTTCTCTTTCCGATATTATTTTTTAATTTAAAAATAATAATGATTCTGAAAATTTCATATCGATATTTTAATTTCTAAAGGTCGCTCAAGATTTTTTTAACTTTCAAAGGAGAGTATTTTGAATGTTTTCGAGCGACCCCTGAATATAAATATCAACGAACTTTTAGCGACCTATAGAAATCAAAATATTGATTTGAAATTTACAGAATTTTTATTATTTTCAACCTAAAAAATAATATCGAGACGAAAAAAAGAATTAAAATAAAACAAAAATTCAATTTTTGACCATTTTGAAAATTTTTAAAAATCTTGAGCGACCCCTACAAAATTTTTAATCGAGCTGATATTTTGAAAGGGCTCTCAAGCATGATAAACTAACATATTTTTACAAGAGACAAGAAAAAAAAATATATTCTTTTTTTTTGGGACACCCTAATATATGTATATATATTTATAAATTAACTATTATGAAATTTGTATTTTTAGTCCAGTTATTTTTAGTTATTAGGTATAAATTAATATGGATTTATCAAAATTCGAAGTTAATTTTATATGATTATTATAAAGTTAAATCAGAACATACCAGAACCAAAATAGGAAAATCAGAACCTTTACTACTTTTGATTTCCTGTCAGAATGAAGACCTCAAAAACAGTATAGTTCTGATTAAATCAGAACAGTTGGTCACCTTAGGTAAACAGTTCTATGGACTAAAGAATAATTTGAACTAAAATTCAAAATAACATGCCTAAACAGATGAATATAAGATCTTAGTCAAATGCTCAACAGCACAGCCCAAGTAACATTTTTAGTTTTATTATGGTCTTAAAACCTTAAAACCAGTAGCGCAGCTCTAAATAGAAAGATAATGGAAGAAATTGATATAATATTGATTTTTATATGTGAAAGGCTATTTCAGGCTCTTTTTTTTACTATAACTTATATAACTTTTATAACTAAAAGCAGAACAAACCACCATTTTATTCTAATCGACGTCTTTATTTCCTTTCCAAGCAAAAACACAAAACAAACTTGTGACGTTAACAATGACAGTTTGGTTCACTTCTGGCACACTTCACTGCAAACCCAACAATAGGCGTTTTCAAAAACTATTTGAGAAACGTAGGAATTTTTTTTTAATAACAAACTCGTATGGTTAAATTTAGAATTTGAAATAAAAAAATTGCATGCCCCAACCCCATTGCTGTTAAAACTTAAACAATACGATGCCTTTTTTAATTGTTCGAAATATAAAAGAGGAAAATGAAAAAATCGAGTTTCGATGATCATCATATGATATCTCGAAATCTTTTTAAATTTTGTACATACAAAACTTGTCATTTTATTTTCGTTAATTTGTAAATTTTTAATTGTATTTTTAGTCAAAGTGAAGAATGTAATCATAATATAGTTGTCAATTGTGTATAAGTGAACTGTATTTACGTAAATGCTCATATAAATTAAGTAGGACATATAAAAGCCCTATTATCTTAAGATAAAAGTTTTTGTTACAATGAATAAAAACATTGTAACTTTATTTAAAACTCATTGTAATTTTTTATCATCATTACAGATTATAACCAAATTATCAAATAGCTAGATACCAATAATTTTTTTCTAAAATGTTTAACCCATAGTGCCGGGTACTTGTTTTTGTTGAAACGAGTTTTGGTTTGTTCGATTTATGGCCACAAGAAACTTGGTACACGGCAGCACTCCAATCTCCAGGTTACAATATTTAATCTTAGATAGGCACTGCACACAAAACCATGGGCGTTCCTTTGAAAGCAGAGTTTTATGGCATTGTTTTTCGGGACCTGTAAAAGTTGACTTAGGACTTGTAATCCAACAAAATCTACCTAGTGATTTTGTGCTTTTACGTAATTTTTGTATAGGTGAATCCGTAAAAGTGGGGTGGAGTATGTATAGCTATATTTTTTTAATTATAAATTGGGGGTTTAACGCTCTTAAACTTGTTTTTACCACTCTAAAATTTATAGGTTTTAATTTTTTTAATTTTGTTCAACATGCAACAAAAGTTATTGGATGATTTCTAAAAAAATATATATTTATAAATTGCTCATTTTTTTAGCTATTTTGCTTCATTGTTCATAACATTTTAATTAAAATCTACCTTCAGATTGCAGCTACCTAAAGCATGGGCGTCGCCAAAGGGTTTAGGAGGGCGGGGGGAGCAGCTGCCCCCATAGAGACTCGAACTAATTTTATCAAATGCAGTTACGGTTTGGGAGTATTTAACAGTCGATAACATAAATCGCAGAAAAAAATCCTTTTTAACTATTTTTGATAAAAAATATTCAAATTCATTTAATTAAACGAAATTTATATTTCCGGTAAAGGGACAAAATCGAAAAAAATGGCCTTTTAGTAAAAGAAATAATAAAAATTATAAATGGTATAAAACCTGTAATTTTTTAATTTTTTTAATAAAATTTGTACTTTGTCGATAAATTTCAGTGAATTAAATATTGTACCACTTAAATTTGAATTATCTTAATTTGGAGGGGCAGGAGGCTGGGGGTTGCACTTAAAAACTAACTTTTTTTCTCAAACTTTAATTTAAATTCTGCTTGCGCAGAACTTGTCTATATAATGTCATTATAAACTCATATAAATTTGATGTGGGATAACTGAGATATGGGTGTGCCTAAAATCCACCAGCCGCCACTGAAATGTACATACATACATATGTATAGGTTATTTTACAGATATTTAGTACATGGTATTTTAAAGGGAACAATTACTCATTTTTTAAAGGTAGTTCTATCTTCAGATATAATATATAATAATTGAAACAGGGATAAAATAGTGAAAAACTCGAAAAACGTATTTAAACAAGTCGAAGTTAAAATTTGAAAAAGCCTAAAAATATAGACTCTTGTAATTTACAAGTTGTAAATATATTATAGTTTTAAAATGAATTTTGTTCCAAATCCGATAAATATGGATTGCCCTCTAGGTGTTGGATATTCTCTAATTATAAAACTACTCATCTTAAACCATAAAAATATTCTTCACAATATCTTGCAAAACGACTTTTTAGTTTGTTTACTTGTACGTCTATGGGTCTATGCCTTGTGATTTGTGATGCTGTACTAATAGATAGCCACATCTTCTCGGACCGGTTTTAAGAACCTGTTTATGCTCCGGTACCAGCAAAGAACCCAATGCATTGGTGAAATGGTACTTAATATACCAGGACTTGTCAAGAAGTTTTTTAAGATGTTACTACTATAGTGTGCAAAAGACAATATTCAAAAATAGTTTTTGATATGCACCTATACATATTTATAATTATGATTTTATATTTTGTCATTAAATGTTTCTTTGGGTCTTAATTAAAGTTAGTTTTTTTATAATACCTATGTACTAGTTTCACTCTAAGATTTTATTTTTCACTATTAAACATTATTATCAAGGTAGTATTATTTTTTATAATTTTTACCCAAAAAGTTATTTATTTTTGGTACTGTATTTGGAACAAATATAAAGTTTATAAATCTATAAGGATAGAATTGAGTTCATTTTGAGTTTTTATAAAAAAATGAATGAAAGATTTTTAAATTGTTTTTATATTTTTAAATTGTTTTTATAAAAAAACAAAACTTAATAATAAATAAAAAGTTTAAAATATATAAAAACCCGCACAAAAAAGTATAAAATAACGTATGCCAAAAAGTATAGCACAAAATAGTTTTGGGAGGTTCAGACAGTACATTGCGGGGAAAGATGTAAGGGGAATTGTTTTTATACATAATGCATAAATAGCGATAGGTACCAACTTGCAGAAACTAAATTTACTTTGTCATTTTAATACATTTGATTTAAAAAAACTTATTTTATCCAGTCCTACATTGACGGGCTGTGGAGTTTTAGTCACGGTCTGAAGTTAGCTTTATTATAAATTGGGGAAAAGTGAGGTTAAACGTGAAAACGAATTATTATGTTCTGTGAAACAAATGTCCACTACTGTGCTTATAATTTAGACCAAAATTCGATTACTGTCAGATCTATCTAACCTCACTTTTTTGGATGTTGGATGTTGGATGCAATGAAGTGTATTTTTGTGATTCGATCAAAAAGACTCACTTGGCCTTTTAACATAAATAACTATTTTTGTAGGTATTTTTTATGATATTTTTAAAATTAGTGATCCTGTTAAACAACCTAACATAAAATAAATAAATTATTGTTTTTTTCAGATTTCAGGTTTACGATAAAAAAAACTAAGATATTATAAATGTGCAGAAAAACGAAAGTCTTCACTGGTAGAAGAGAAATCTCTACAAAACTTTTGTAATCGTAAAAATAAATAATTGTTTATAACTAAATTTGATCTTATTTCTATGGTTAATCAAGTTTAATTTTTGTAGAACTAAATTAAATTAATAAATTATTCATGTCAACAACTTATTTATCAAATGCCTATCCATTAACAAATTGGCCTTCAAATTGTGTTGTTTAAAATTATATAACTGTTGATTTTATTTCATAAACATTTAATATTTAAAAAGTAGGAAACAATACCTTAAAATTATTATTACTTGATATCGATTTATTTTTAATCCAGACTACTTTATTAAATGCATTAATGAATTAAAAATTATCAGCAAGTTTAATGTTATCACAAAACAATATAATTGTTTCAAAACTGCTTAGTTTGCAAAAAAAATCGGTAAACAAGTTGGTTGCCGAAAATAAATCATACGATTTTATTAACACGTTTTTTGATCGGTTTTTAAGGTTATTTACCTTTGATTTTCGCTTATGTAATTAATAATTTTTATATCGGGTGGAAAAATAAAATCATATATAAAATCAATAAAAACTGTATTTTTTTAATAAAAATTTTTATATAAAAAAGCTCTGTGTACGTTGCAGTACGTATATCACATTATGCGATAGAAAACTTAAAAAAACTCGTTACATCACTAGGTTTCCCTAAAGAAAAAATGTACAAAAAAACCTTACATCAAATAAAGTTTGCCATTTTTGTGTTTAACGTTCTTCATGGCACATTTTCACCATGAATTTGAGATCTCTGGCACCTTTTTTGTAATTTAATTCTTTTTTTCGAGCTCAGAACCAACAAATTCAGTTGCGCCTGAATAAAAACAAAATTAAACGGAAAAATTCTAGATTTCAGGCCGACAACCATTAATACTGAATACAAAAAATAATAGAAAACGCCGAAACAAGAACATGTTGGTTCCTCGCCTTTCAATTCTTTACCGCTCTAATATCACAATAGAAAAAACATAGAAATACTATTTGAAAAAAATAAAAAAAATTACAATTTCATATCACAACTTCAAATTAAAAATTGGTCGTTCGTCGCATAAACACCTAACTACATTTTAGTACAAAGTACGTTTAAATTTGAAATATATAAACTATATATATATACTTAACACGTAAAAAATGATTGATCAAAGATGACAATGAAAACAATTAAATAAAGAAACGATGCAAAATACTTATGCAAAATCTATCACACGATAGAATCAGTCTTTTTCTATCTAGGTACATAAGTATTTTAAAACTTATTATTCGGACGATCTATAGAGCTTCTTCTTCTGAAGTCCATATTCTGGACTTATCATCACTGTACCGCCTCGTGTGATTTTTCTGTAACAAAAATAAAAAAATTAGTATTGAAATTATTAAAAAAAAAATTTTTTTCGAAGTCTTAAGAACTGGACTTACTTTAAAAATTGCGGTAGGAACGCGTTCCAACCAGCGGTGGACTGCTTCAATGTAAGGTATAATTCAAATGTGGTTGGGGTGGTTGGATCGCACTTGATTTTTGATATTCTTTTGACTTCTTCCCCTTCGAAGTTGATGTACAAAGTGCACCCGCGAAGTCCACAAGGTTCCGAATCGCCCATCACAAACATATCCTGCGATATTCTACGTGTAAGTCCATTTGGAAGAAGGACTTCGCCAACGGAGAGATGTTCCTTTTTGGCCGTTTTCAATTCTTGTTCTAAACGCGTTGTTAGGGCTTCGATTAAAGCCATTTCTTCCGATTCCGGATAGTCGTATTCGAAATCTGTAAAGAACAAATAAACTTAATAAATAAAATTCGAAAGTGTGCAAGTGAAATTTGTTGTTGCTATGCGGCGAACGCGAGGTTATAGATCACAATGATTTAACGAAATAAAACGAAACCTACCTTCATTGTTTTTGTAGTTCACGTTAGTCAATGATAGCACCTCCATTTTCACAAATATATGTATTTTTAACAAAAGTCTTTGCACTGTATTCAAGTTTCTATTATTTTCTTTCAAGTGCCGGTATACCCTGCTACTCAACACCTAAAGGTCAACCTTCTAGATTTAAACTACGCTCGGATCAGCTGTGTAGCCGCATTTTATAGAGTCGCGATCCCCCACCAAGACCCGGCACCCGAGCGCCATCGTATGCCGGCCGAACACAACCGATTTGTGGCCTACGTGATGTCGAAAACATAGCCGGTGCTGCGTTGCCAAATCTAATTGGTAATCTACGATAAAAATTAATGATTTGTTTGTTGAAAGATGGATTTCAACGTTTTAAAGGATTTCGTTGGGAGAAGTGTTGTTAATATGCACTGGATCGGTTTGTGGGTTAATTGTGTTTATATATGTACATGCCAAACAATATACTATATATTTTTAAATATGACCCAAAACAACAAAACTCTATAATAACAAATTAAAATTCAAAAAAATGTCTTTTCATGGTAAAAATTTACAATAAAATAAAAAATTATTTATCTCAAATTTCACCAGATTTTATTCTAAAAGTAAAGTTTGGCAACATTGTAAACAAGTTGGTACAAAGAAGATTGGTCTACTTAAATAGTCCTTTGTTTATCATCTAGGTTTTTATAACACCAGCAAAATGTAAAAATAGGTAATAATTTCCTTAAAAACAAAATCCGATGTATGTAGATTTTGTTAACGCTTTTATAATGTTAGGTAATAATGCCTGGTAAACTAGCTTGAACCTGTCCGTAAGATTTGTTCAAGTTTCTAGAAAAGTTTAGAATTATTTTGTTCACCTATACAGGGTGTTACATAAGTATGTACAATAAATTTGACATACAAAAAGTTTTTATAAACAGGTGTCCGCAAATGCTTTATTTTCAAGATACAAGGTGTTAAACTTTGATAAACCTTAACGAACATTTTTGGCAAAAAATATTATTATTTAGATGAAATAATTTACTTAGGGTAATTTAGGACATTACCTTTAAAATAATCTATTGAAATAAGTGTTAATGACTTTTAAACAATTTTATGAACAAAAGTGCAAAAAATTAATAAAAAATTAATGAGTTACTAAAAATGGTTATTAAATAGCAATTAATATTATAATTACATTGATTTCTTAAACATTTTGATAAAAATGAATAATGATCTTGTTTTTTCTTTAACTAAAGCTGTTTATATCTTATATAAATCCAGTTAATTCAGGTTTATTAAACATAATCTTAGCCAATAAAATAAATATAAAAAATAATGAACTAATTCCTTATTAAATAGCCATATAACATGTCCGTTCTAAATTTTTATAAGTAGTTTTATTTGTTTTATTATTAGACTTTCTTTAAAGTGGAAAACAAAGGAAAATCACTTTAAAATTTACACATGTTACAAATTATATATTTAAATATTTTATACATGTCAGAACTAGATTTTTTGGATTCACACATTCTTTTCATTATAATATAGAAATAAATAACCTTCAAGATAAAAAATCTTTTATATTTTTTTTATTCCACAATAATTTAATATAATTTAAAGCCAAATACAACTTTGTTAGCATAATTAATTAAAAAACATTTTAATAATTAAGATTTCCTTACTATTATTTTATTTTACATTTTTTACAATTTTTATCGTATTATTAAAACGGTATCATTTCTATTAATAGAATTTGTTGCGGTTTCTTATCTTAAATAATAATTATATTGTACAAACTAGACAATGGGGCACCTAAAATTTACCAAAAAACTGATGCAATGTACTACAAAATTAATTAAATTTTCCGCAGGGACTTTTTTCCAATCTTAATTCGTCATTTGTTCAGATATTTTTATAGGATTTATAGATTTAGTATTGTGTAATATTGTGTGAACACAAAAAAATTTCTCCTTTTCTTTTATCTCACAAATTTAATTGGTTTAAAAAAAAAATGATTTAAACAATTTATGATTTTTTAGTACACAGGGTGTTTTTACTTAAAATGGACAATGTAATAAAGGTTGTATGTATGTATATATCGAGATTAACACTATTTTCAAATAAATATTTCTCATTTGAGTTTTTGTTTTAAAATTATTAAATTATTATATAAACATTTTTACCTCCATTATTTATAGTTATAATTTTAAAAGGTTTTTAAAATTTTCATTTTAATATCTACAATTTTTGTGTTAAATAAACATTTTTAACAAAATTATCAACCAACAAATGCAAAATCAAAAGAAATTTGATAATTCTATAAAAGTTGTAGATCTCATCGAGATAGTCGTATTTAAAAAATATGTTTTTACTACAAAGTTCTATTTTGATAAAAAATCCGTTGTCGTTTAACACAATGCCTAAATGACATTTTAATGAAATAAGAAAATATTCATAAGGGTGATTCTACAAAAGTTGGACAACTTGATGTCATCAGTCAATAGAGTAGGTACTTTAATATTTTTTGTAAATATTTTAGTATATTAACTTGTCCACCCAATTTTAATAGAAAAGCATAATAAATATTCAAAACTGATGTACTCGTACCTTGTCGTGTCACAACTCAAATCAAATATTTGAGTGATTTTATTTTAAAATATATTCAATTTATAATAATTTTTTTAATTTCACCACAAACTATAAAACATTAAATAATATATTTTTCATATTTTATCATAGATTCGAATAATAGCAATTTTAAAAAAATCTTTGTACTCACTTTTACCCGTCAGTTCTGTGTCCAATGTTAAAATTCAAAATTCCTGCGAAATATTGAAGTTTAAACGTCAAGTCCTCGTTTTAACTCAAGTGTTGGTAATTAAATTACCTACAGAGCCCGCCCTTTGCACGACAGTCATCTTGAAAACAATGCAAGCGGCGAAGTTGTGGTGAATGCATGAATAGTCCAAATTTCAGTACTGTGGTGAGTAGTTATTTTCTTACGTATATATATTTCATTGTAATTTATATAAGGCTTTATGTGATTTGTTGATAAGTAGCATCCACTAATAAAAAATATCAGTAAAATACTGATCCGAATTATAATCTCAAATTTGTATCCCATTCATCGGTTATCTTTTTTTCGCAAACTTCAATTTAAATTCTGCTTGCACTGAACTTGTTTATTTAATGTCATTATAAACTCATATAAATTTGGTGTGGGTCCCATATCTAATAATTGAGAAATCGGTATAGCCAAAATCCACCAGCCGCCACTGATGTGTGGTATTATTTGATTTTAAGATATTTAATGTATAATATGCTCAAAGTTGCAATAAATCTTATAGTTTCCAATAAATTATGTATTTAATTAGTACCCTGGTATACTCGTCACTTCCCTTGCATTCAAATTTAGAAAACAGACATTTTAGAAACTGTTTGAAAAAGTGACTGGCCCGGTCTGGAACAGTATATTTATTATATTATCTATGTTCTCATAACAAAATACTGTTTAATTTTCTCCAAAAACTATATAAACAAAATGAGGTAAAAAGTTGCCCAACTTTTGTAGAATCACCCATAACTAGATAATTAGTGGACATGCAACAATATAGAAGACATTTTTGTAGTAGATTTTAAGCTTTTTAAAAAAGGTGTATAAAACCATCCATTTAAATAGTTTGGATTGTCAATGTTTAAAATAAATAAAAAATATCTTTTTTTTTAATTTCATAAGTTGTCTTTTTTTAGTTGGGTATCAACTAAATTATATTTTTACGTTTTTAAAACAATTTTGAGCGTAAAATTTTCTACAAAAATTTGTCCCCAAGTAAAAAAACACCTTGGAAAATAACTGTATGTGTCACTATTTTTTACTTTTTAATTTTTGCAAAATTGGGTATGATGAGTAAAACTAAATAATCTTTCTTAATATGTCATATATCATCATCGAGCGTATTTTCTATTATACATACATACGTAGTATACGTAGGCTGTGATTAATCCATATCTTAACAAATTTGTAAATAGAAATCCGTTGTTTCGAAATTATAGGTACCAAAAATAACGGAATTTCATATAGGTACAATAAATTTTTCAAAATCATAAAAAATACTACTAATAAAACTTGTATAAATAATTAATTAAATGCAAAATATTATATAAATTTGAGCTTATCGTGTTTTAGTCACTAACCAGTTTTGATATCATATTACAATGAAATTGTAAAAATGGTAATGAATTAATAAATACATAGATAAGAGTCACTTGTTAGCGATTGATTTCATATTCCCTTTTTGTAAATTTCGAAAAACCGTTGGTTATTTTTAACGTTCGTTATATTTGCATATTTATAGTTTTTTATCGGTTGGCATAATAAAACATAAAATTTGGGCGCCAAATTCATCGATATACGTTAAATTTGTTGTAGTCTTTATGATGTATAATCATAAAATGCCAATTATGGTTTCGCTCTTTAATAAAACTTGAATTTCTAGGAAATTGCAAATATTTATACTAATTGTATATACTTTTATAAAATGTCATTATCGTTAATGGTTTTTAGTCAAATAATTATTAAATAAACTTAATGACCGGGTATTAAAAAAAAAAGAAATTTATACAGTGTATCTCCGGATTTACTTCGAGATGGATGTAATTTCCAAATTTCAGTTCAAAAGGTTAATCTAAAAATTCTATTTGGTTAAAATATTTTGCATTAAAAATTAAAGTCATATTCCAACATTCGTTGTATTTGAACAAAAAAAAGTAATACAAGTAAAAAAAAAAGTTTTCAGGAGTTTTAAAAAGCAACGTTAAAAATTTGTCGATGACATGGACTTTTAAAAATAAAAAAGAAGAAAAGATTGGACGAAGACGATTTGGCTTTTGGTGACGTCAGAGCAAACAGCAAAATCTCATTGACGTAAAAAAAATAACATTTGCAAATAATATTTTTGTGTGCCGTTTTATTATGGGATATGGACCTTATTTTTTGGATGGAAATTTAAATCAACAGATATTGCGAAAATATTTACAAAATTACCTTGATAAAAAGTATACGTCTGAGGCAAAAAATATAAAATATAAATATATTAACAAGACGGTATCAGCCCACACAAAATCTTTTTGATAAGGAATTATTTGAACAAAAGTTAAATTTATTACCATTTATT